CCTCGATTGTGTACAAATGTGTTCTTTTCTTTTATTAAGGTCCATTGTATAGTAAGGAATATACGTACTACGGAACAATACAAGTTGATTAAAATGCCACAGGTTTAGGTTGAATAGCTGAATATTATAGCACACAACCGAGACTAAGACTGAGGAAAAGAGAACTCGAAACTAGAGTATTCTGTTCTTGATCAAAGACTTGACAGCCTCGCTTACCTAAATTTATTGTCATTTTTGCAAAATTGGGTTACCTGTGTATAAATTAGCATAAGAATTAATGGCCGACAAACGAGTTTGTCTTTCGTGAAAGACTGCAAAAAAGCGCGAAAATGCTTACCAATATGGCTTAAGATAAAGATATACTAACTGTAAAAAGTATAGAATACAAACTCTTACTTTTTGAAAATTAATTTTAAAATATACTTTTTTCCCTATATACCCTAGAGGACCGTTAAAAGGATAGAGGAGTGAAATAACACATTTCTTTAGATGAAGTTAAATTTCAAGTTTTTCGTTAGGATAGGATACGTTTGAACGCCTTTGATGCTCAATCGAACTTCATTTTCAGACCACAGGAAGTCCAAACTTTCGTTACGGTCTGGGGAACCCCTGTTTCGTGAAATAGGACAAACAAAACAGAACAAGCATGTCTACAGAGCCGGTATGCGTTCAAGACATCGAGATTCTAGCCAAAAACAAACTGGAGAAAAGCTATATTATCTACTTTGAAAGTGGAGCAGACGAGGAAGACACCTTCAGGGAGAATCGTAGAGCCTTCCAAAGGTAATTTTGATACGTATGACATAGCGTGTGATTACCTTGTGGATTTAGAGATGTTTGTCAATGATGTATAAAGGTCAGCATTCACGACTGCATATTTCATCTCAGGAACGCAGCCAAAGCACTAGTACATCAGATATATAGAGGATATTACATGGGCGCGCGGATATACGAAATTTATCTTCGAGTGTTGAAAAGATCAGTCACACAATTTTTATTTGAGGCATGTACACCGATTCTATTCACTCACACTGACAAAGTACAGCATGGCAAACGTCCCACTTTTGAATAAAAAAAAACAACTGTTTATATATATTCTCTACTTTCACATCCCCATAATACTTTGTGTCTTTGGGGGGTAACCAGAGGGTAAAAACCCGCTTGTTTTGCTGAAGGCTGATCAGACAATGTTGACAATACCTTGTTTAGCATCCAAAAGTGAAATGAAGAAGTAAAAAGCAGAAAAAGATAGAAGCTTGAAGACGTTTAAGGTAAATTTTAAACATTTTTTCGTAAGTCAATACATTTTCTGTACAAGACCAAAACTCTTGATGATCTGTACACGCAGAAATAACTTGGAATAGACTGATAATCAGTATTGTACAGATAAAAGCAGGTATAGTATAAATTCAATTGAGAAACCTTTCAATTTGGGACAGTTTTTTGATTGGTTACCCCCAAAGACGCAAGGCATTATGGGGGTGTGAAAGTAGAGAATATTTCAATAACAACTGTTTAATATATATTAAAGCAAATGTGAACAATACTAACTTGCGTAGCAACTAGTACTTGACAATCCAATCAGTGATCCAATAATGTTTTGAGTTTTCGTTTATATATTTTCAAACGGAATGCATTCTTAGATGAATAATGGCTCAAACGGTCATATAATCGAATGAATAATGAATTCTTGGGGGTACGCTTGACCTGGTTTGACTGTAAAAATATGTTCATAGTGAATCTTCATTGTAGCGCCAGTAGGATAAGTTCAAGCAAGTATAGAAATAAATAAGATAATAATAATAATAATATATTATGTAACTCTAACTACTGGTATCTATAATATATCTAACTATATGTGTTTATAAAGATATGAGTTTTTGAGCCTTTTTTTTGAAAGTTTTTAGTTTTCTGGTGTTCTTTATGTCTTTAGGAAGCTTGTTCCTCAGTTGGCCTCAGTTGTTGAACGCCCTTCCAAAATATAAATAAATGTTATGAGAGAGAAAATTAATGTTTTTACAGACTAAGCTAGACATCAGTTTTTCTAATTACTATTTCTTATCTTATGAAAACAAGATAAAGAACGATCAATTAGTTATTGAAAATATCGATATGGGATTTCAGTAAGGCTACCATCACGCACGTTTAGATAATGGTATGCTTTGAATTTACAAGTAAACCACTTAGCTCCTCCCATTAGCATGTACACCTATGGTTACACCCTAAATACTCTTTACCCCTTTGCTTAGTTATTTTGGCACTATTCTTTTAAATCTTATGATATAATTATTCCTCGTAGACCTTTCTATACATTTACCATATATTCACATATTATCTTTGGTTTAAGTTATGTTTAGTTCTATGATTTTCACTCGTATTATTCTTAATAAGATATCACACTCAGGAATTTACTATTTCCATTAGCCAATCAAGGCACAGCGATGATATCATATTGATTGTAGAATGACACCTGTCATGAAGTTATTATAAATAGAACTCATGTAATTAGTTTAAGTCAGAAGAGTAGAGATAGAGAATAGAATGAAGAGAAAGTGGAATAAAGATCCCGTAGCTCGTACCGAGAGCGGTCCATCCCATAACATAAATATAAAGGATAAAATGTATCATTAAAAATAGGCCGGATTAACAGTACACAGCTAGTGAGATTCGATATCCTGTCCATGAAGTTTGGTCAGCCAATCAGCATGCCAATATGTATTGCTCCAACAGGTAATCAAAAAATGGCTCATCCTGATGGTGATTTAGCTACAGTCAGAGGTAAAGGAATCTGTTATCTAAGGGCATTCCTACCCAGAGGGGTCGTTCATGCACTTGGAAAAAAGTTGTCCCTGGCATTGCCTGGTTCAAACGATACACTGCCTTGGCCTAAATCTTGGCCACGTGTCATTTTCTAGAGTGTTATTTCTTTGTTTAACGGTCGCGATAGAGAAGGGGGGAGAAATATATACAAACACACACCCAAATCAAACAAAGAATATTTTCCCCAAGAGAATGACACGTGTTCTGAAAGGAAAGAAATCTATACTCGTGATCTAGTTGCATCGTAGCAATTTGATTATAGTATCTTCCCATTGAAAATATTGATTTGTCATTGTTTCCCCAGCGGCTGAAGCGCACCACACCTGCATGGTGTTATCTTACTGGGCAAACACCTCTATCAAAGAAGTTGCTGACGCTGCGCCGTCTTGTTTAAAATGGTGTGCAGTTAAATTCACCGAGAATAAAGACTTCGTTAAAGACCTAGTACGTCGAGCAGAAAATGCCGGCTACTCAGCAATCGTGGTAACCTGTGACTCCCAAGTATCTTCTAAGAGATATGAACTCCAACGTAACAACTTCACGGTTCCGCCTGATTTTATCTATCCAAACCTGGAAGTTCTTGGCTCTGCTCTCGGTTTAGGCTTTGCTGATTAACCTAAATTGCTGTTGGTGCATGGGATGATGTGAAGTGGTTGAAATCTTATACCAAGTTGCCAGTTGTACTGAAAGGTATTTTAACGGCTGAGGATGCAAAGATGGCTGTGGAACATGGAGCTGATGCTATTTTGGTCTCGAATCATGGAGAAAGATTCCTGGATGGTGTACCTGCTACTGTACGCAAGGATTTTTGAATTTAGATAGTGGGACTAGTGGATGTTATTCGATTAAGACAATAAGAGAACTAATCAATCAACCGATAAGCAAACCTAACAACCAAACAACCAACGAAACAACAACGAAAAAACAGCGGAAAAAATAACCAACCCACCAACCCACCAACCCACCAACCCACCAACCCACCAACCCACCAACAACGAAAAAACAGCGGAAAAAATAACCAACCCACCAACCC